ATTAATGCTAACCCTAATTCTAATTATTTTTAATTTATTAAGAAAAATATTGAAGTTTTTAACCTAAAATTAATCCTAATTTTTATATGCAAATTTAATTATAAAAATAAATATTTAGTTATTTTAATCATTATAAAAGAAAAATAAAAAGGAATAAAATTTAATCAAACCTAATTCTATGTTTTTTAATTTATTATTAAAAGAATTAAAATTAACACCTAATTTAAAACTAATTTTATTTACATGCAAATTTATTTATGAAAATACTACAAAATAAAATATTTTATTATTTTTTCTTTTTTTTTTTGATTTTTTATGTGTTTTTTATATTTATGAAAATAATTAGTTAATTAATAAAACAATAATAATTAAAAGTAAAATAGAAAATAAAAATAGAAAATATTATGGCAAACCTAGGGGGTTCAGACCCCAAATTAGGAGGTGATTCTTTAGAAATTCAGGCCCATTTAGCATGGCCTTGTTGACTTTGGCAGGACACGTGCATGTGCGTTGACTCAGACTTATGGTGTTCCTCCAATCTGCGCCCTTGGATTGCTCTAAACGTACGCGTGGCTGGCTTGATGAGGAGGTGTATGGTATGCTTCAGGGCTTGAAACTGCATGTGAAGATCAATTGAAAAATAATATTGAGAATAATGAAGACCTGGGGCTCGAACCCAGGTCATGCACTTTACCATTCATTATGCTTGCCAGTGGAGCCAATTCACGCGTTGTTAACATATCACAATGAATAAATATTATAAAAGAAAACAACAACATTAGTGGACACTGCGCGCGAAATTCAAATGGCCCTATCACCTCTCGCCACTTCATCGTCTCCTTCGTTGGTTTTTTATTTTCCTGGAATACAAACAGATTAGGCCACGGTTTTTTACGCGTTCTTTTAGGTATGCTTTGGAAAAATAACGACTAGCCCTATGACGCTCATAAATTGAGCGCGAGGGTAGATTCTCCTTCGTCCAGACACGTTGAATTCAATGGCTTTGGTCACAGCCTCTAATTTTTCTTTGTTTCAAAAGCCCTAATTCCAAGTCCTGTAAACCCTAAAAATTGACAATGGTATATTGGCACACAACGCATAAAAACACAATTGAATCATTGGGTTAGCTTCAGAATTGCATGAGGAGTATGAATCACATATTAAAACTTGCAAAAAACGCATGAATGAAGATGCACGATTGTGAATTTTATTTGAAACAGTTGGACTCCACTGTACCAATTCCGGGCGTTTTGATGAATGTTTTTGATTGAGAATCGTTCAGTGAACCTCCAGGAAGGTGTTTGAACAGCTATTAAGCCTTGAATCAACCTGCAAAAGGGTTTTCAGTTTTGAGTTTCTTGCCAAAAAAATTCAAGTTTGATGATGGTTTATGCGCAGCTTTTTTGGTTCTTGGCATTAGGTTTTCGTTCATGCTTATGTAATGAATCAATTAGGTTAACAAATTTGATCAGAATCTCTTGTATTCATGATTTTGAGATTTGATTTCCAAGCTTTATTTTTTCAATCTTTTTCCATGTGTTTTTGCTCTCAATCATATCAAATTGCATTGGTTCTTTCCTTATTTGGCTAGGCACGAATTATTGAGTATAAAACATGCACAAAAAGATTTAAAACTTTAGGTTAAGTATTTTCCATGTATTTAATTTGATTTAAATGAATTAATATAAATAAAAAATTCAAATAAATAAATAAAAAATGAAGAAATACCTCCCTTTGGGCCAAGTGGTCGTGCACATGCCATGGATGATGAATTGTGGAAGAAAAATGGGCCCATTAGCAATTTTAGGTCATTTGAACCAATGTTGACTTTTCAAAATATCCAAAAATTTCCCAACTTCCACAAGGCATAACTTGCTCAATGTTTAAGCTTTTCTCATGTTCTTGGACATTTTGGAAAGGTCTTTGAGTCCTATAACCAATGCATTTTGTCCCATGTCATTTTGATTTACCAATCTCAAGTTATGGCCTTTGACTTAAAGTCCCTTTTTGTTGACTTTTGAAAATGACCTATAATGTTGAAATTGATAACTTTTTGTGAGAGCATTTCTTGGACTTGAAGTATGAAGATGAGTTGTAGGAAATGTCTTTCTCTTCAAAGTGAGCTTTGGATGGAATTTTTCTGATAATCCATGTGAAAGTTATGCCCTGGTCAATTTACAGTTGACTTTTTCAGCTGTCCAAATAAGGAAACTTTTGCATCTTGATGATTTTTGAGCCAAGCTTTGAGAATCATGATCAAGCATTGATCAAATGATGTTTGTGGCTTCAAAATGATATATTGATCAAAAAATTGAACTTTTGACTGTCAAATGACCATTTTGCCCCTACAGTTGACTGTTGAGCAATTAGGGTTTTGACTGTGCAATTTTGAGCTGAATGTCTTGAAACTTTGTATGAGGATGCTTGACCATATTTGTAGGCATGTGAGACTTGATTGGACCTTTGGAAACTTCCTTTTCTTGACCAGAATACAAACCCTAATCTTGCTTGCTTATGAGACCTTTGCACTATGCAACCCTTGGGGAATTTTGAAGCATGACTTGGCAATTTCTTGAAGAATATGGGAGGGAAAATTTTGGGGTACAACAGTATTCCTTGTTAAAGATCCCCCTTCGGCTGGTTTCTTTATATTGAAGTCCACCTTCGGCTGGTTTCTTTACCCTTAAAATCCACCTTCGGCTGGTACATTTTATTGAGAGTCCCCTTCGGCTGGTCTCTTTTTCAGTTGTAAGTTCGCCTTTGATTGGCGTTCTTTCCCTAGGAATCTACCTTCGGCATTGTATTCCTTGTTAAAGATTCCCCTTCGGTTGGTTTCTTTATCTTAGAAGTCTACCTTCGGCTGGAACCCTTAAAATCCACCTTTGGATGGTACCTTTTGTTAGGAGTCCTCTTCAGTTGGTCTCTTTTCATTTGTAAGATTTCCCTTGATCGACACTCTTCACCCTTTAAATCCACCCCAGGCTGGTATCATTTGTCAGGAGTCATCTTCGACTGGTCTCTTTTCATTTGTAAGTTTTCCCTTGATCGACAATCTTCCCCCCTTTTAAATCCAACTACGGCTGGTATCATTTGTTAGGAGTCCCATTCATTTGGTCTCTTTTCTTTGTAAGGTCGTCTTTGATCGGTGTTCTATTCAGAGTTAATGTCTATTTGTATCCCTGGTAAGTTCCCCTTCGAATGGTGTTCCTTCATTAGAGCCTTCTTCGGTCGGTCTCTTTCTTGTGTATGTCTAACTTTGACCTGACATCGAACAGATTTACTCAGCTAACTACTGCAATAATGAAAGAAAAAAAAGCAAAAAAATAGAAATACAGAAAACCAATAAATATAATAATACCTGATTGGCTTCAGAGGCAAATTTTCGGGTTCTTTTAGCATTTAATTTTCTTCCACCTTGAATGTTCGAAAGGCTAGCGCCAATCTCACCTTCAGGTTGAAGGCGATTAAATAGGGGCAATTGTTGCACCCCAAAATTTGCCCTCCTAATTTCTTTTATTTGGCTTAGACTTTTGCCTTCAGCTGCATATATTCCATTAGGTCACTAACGTAGCATGCATTGCATTCAAAAGAGCATCTGAGGTTCAAAAGATTAGCAGCTATGAAGCTAGGGTTTATGACTGATTTGAGGTGTATATGATTTAATAAGATTGATTATTATGTTTCTTCTTGGTGTACGAGACTGTGGAATTATGGTTTCAGTTCATGCTCATTTTTTGGACTTTTTCTCTATCAAGCTACAAGGCTATTATCTTCTGATAAACAACTGGTTGCAGGTTTTTCTTGTCAAGAATTCAAGGGTGGGACCTAGCATACATAGTCTTTGAATCAAGACGTCTTCTCATATAGGCGTGCTTATCATTTGATCAGGGTTAATGACTATGACATGGCAATCATCCATTCCTTAGTTAACTAATTCAGGTTTGTTTGAATCATGGTTCAAAGATACTTCATCTGGATATTTCTCTATGCATTTTAACTGAGGAATCAAGGTTGTGAGGTGTGGTTATCAGGATTCCTTTCTCGTCAGGATATAATTGTTTTTATCTAGTCTCTACAAGTGCTGGGGTTTTCATTTGTGCGACTAATGGTTTCATGTCAAGCGATTTCTTCCGTGTTTCAAACCTTATCGTCCATCCTTAAGATGTTCTTCATGACATTAGTTTTGAGTTGAGATAACCGGTCATTAAGGGTTGAGGATTAAATTATGAAGCATGGTTTATGGCATTAGATATGAATTTGTGGACTTATTCTTGATCAAGGCGATTATCGTTCTTATCATTGTCATTTGTTGTCCGTAATACGAGTGGATTTGGATAGAATTAGGCTTCTCATTAAAGGATTCATGCAAAGTGATTAAGGATTTATTCATGATTTGATTCAGGATTTTTATTCAAATACCCAACACAAGTTCAATTCATTCATCTTGTATCACGGTTCATTTTATATGATAAATCAAAGAAAACTCGGAATTTAAATGCTAAGGGGAAGTAAAGATTCATTCAAAACCCATCCAAGTTTTACTGTATTAAATCAAGAAATCAAAATGTTATTCCCATGAATCATTACGTCCATAAATTCCATTCAATTTCACCATTCAAAAATCAAGATCATACGAATGTTCATGCTTGCCAAAGTTTGGATTTCAAATGCAAGTTGAAATAGAAAAGCACTTTTGATATTTGAGAGCTTGTCATTGAATTCAAAGATTTATAAGTTTATGAGGAGAGAGTTTGAGATGAAGAATGAATCATAATGGAAAAAGAAGCCTGAAATTCAAATCGATTTGAAAAATAAGTCGTTACACTTCCAAGAGTCGCATACAATATTACGCCATCTAACAAAAACCTACATCAAGTTAGTAAGCTACAATAATCCTATTCGGTATACCAGCCCCGGTGTTCATCATATAGTTCTTGCATCACCATCATTCAAGTGATTTCGATTGGCCGAGTCATGAACAAAATCCTTCAGAATCTGCATCAACATGGGAACTGTCTGTCATAACTGTGTATACAAGAAAAACAAACAGGTATGTTCGAGTATGCAGGATGAACCAGACAAAAACAATTGTTACATCGGTGTTTCATACAAATCTGACCTGACCTGCATCCATCAGTGACCGAAAGAACAAAAAAAGAAGTCAGAAAAGCAAAGGGATGATATCCATTTGTAAATAGAAATGGGAAGGGATCAGAAACAACGAATATATAAATACTGTCATTCATTAGCCGCTTTAGTTAATAACAGAAATATTTTCTATCAAGCTATACTAACTTTTTTCAAGCTAACTTTTTATAACTGAAATTAACAGTTTTTGCTTTAGCATTAAACTTATGATACCAAGCATTATCTAACAGAATTCTAACCAAAGCAGTTTTTTCTTCATCTGTTAACTAACTCATAAAACCGTTCCTAACAACTAATAGCTAAAAGTTCACTAACTATAGCAGGATTTCAAACTGATTTTCACATCACCTAAATCCCTAACAGATTCTTAACAAACTCTATCTGTCAAAACAAAATTTTATAACTAGCTCCTAACAGTTTTTTAACTAAACCAACTTTCAATAGGATTTCCAGTTCAAAACAGAAATTACTAACTACCCATTATCCAACTAATTGTCATAACAGTTTCCAGCTCACTAACAGAAAACGAGAAAATAGATAACAACTTGTAACAGAATTTCAAACTAATTCTCTAGATCCCTATAACTGACTTGTAACAGAATTGCAAAAAGGAAGCAACTTTAACCATTTTCTTTAACAGATTCTAACAGAATTATAAAAACAGAAAAAACTCATCACTTAGGGGGTTCTTCAATTTTCTAGAACAAGAATTCAATTCTCTTGCTCCCTCTGAAATTATCTCTTCTTCCATCGATCATTTTTCATTTTCTTTATCTTTATCTTCATCTTCCAAAACTCACAGAAAAACGCAAGGACTCACTTTTCAATTCTCTCTTCAATTCTATCTTCCTTCAATCTTCACTAGAAAAATCACGAGAAAAGAAACTCCAGAAACCCTCCCTCATCTTCAACGCATAACTTTTCTGTCTCTTCAATCATCATTATCAAGTTGCAGAAGCTTGTTTTCAATTTTCATTTGGTTCTTCTCTGCATACCATCATCATCTGCTTCATCAATATCGCAACAATCTCTGCAGCACTCGCATCACCATCTTTGCTGAGAGAGTTATTGGTAACAGAGCAACGTCCTTCTTCATCATCAACAAATCTGCAAGATTCATTATCACAATCATCTTCATCATGCTTCAAGGTTCTTCAAGCTTGCTTCAATCTACTGCAATCACAACAACATTTCTCTATATCTTTAATCAGCATCTTCGCACAATAATCTGCAACAAACACCTCTCTGTAACAACATCACAATGATGCAAATGATTAACTACAGAAACTCATAGAATCGTAGAAGAAGAAGAAAAAGTTTGGATCAGAGAAAGCGAATTGAGAACGGAAACACATACTTAACTCACTGATTTTCCGTCAATGCTATCAAAGACGTGTTGGAATATCCCCCGGTAGGTAGGCCTCGATGCGCTTTTCCTCTTTCTCTTACACATTTCTTGGTTCTTGCAGGTATTGAAAGGAAGCCGATCCGCAAACGATGGGAGTGATTCAGAGTTAAGGCGTTGAGACCAAATTATGAAGAAGATGAGCGAATTCGCAATGAAGAAGAACAATAAAGAGAGAATCTATCACAAATTAGAATCATGATGGAGGCGTGAGGAAGTCGAAGCAAAGGAAGTTGAGTCGCAAGAGTCGCCGCCGTGTAGAAAGAGAAGAAGATAATCGTCGGCCTCTATTCTCGTTGAGAGGTAGAAGAAGATGGGATCGCGGAATCTCAATCGTCACAACCGATTTGGGCCCTATCCCTCTTTTGATTTTCTTTTCTTCTTTCCTTTTAATTTGTTGTTTTACTAACTCAGTTACATTGATACAATTGACTGGGCCTGTACCGAGCCACTTCCTCCCTATTGGCTCGGTTTGTGTTGTTTGAAGAACAAAAAATGGGTTGGATATTGTTATGGGACTGGGCCGAAGATCTCCCTAAAAGCCCAATTGCTGGTATTTTTTTGTAACTGGACTGTAAAAAAAACGGGGGGCTTGTTGGATCCTTTGCAATGGGCCTAGAGTTTTCTTCTATCTTACCATCCGATTCAGTCACAAACCCCACCTCTATTTGTAATTAATTTTGATTTCCTTTTTAGTAATTTTCTTCTCTTGAATTTTGTTAAGCAAAAATGTTGATAAAAACAAAATTGTTAATTGTTTTTTTCAGGAATTTAATAGAATTTTTCTAGGAGTTATTTGTTTAGAATTTTAGTTAGAATTTTCTATTATTGTGTATGTTTGGTAAGTATTTTGTTGTCAAGATTTTGTGATTCACTTTTTCTTGTCGAGATTTGAGTCTTATGCAGGTTTATTGTGCAATATGCGGATGTGCTTGAGATTTCGATTGTGATTTATTTTCACATCGATGATGTGTCATACTTATTCCAAGCATTTGATTTCTAACTCTTTTCTTTGATTGGTGAAGCTTTCGCGAAGATCGTCGGGTTTCTTTATTTTGATACGCTTTGCTACAGATTGATATTCGTTTGGTATTTGCTCTTGTTTATCTCATTTCGTACTTTACTGCTTTCTAGATAGCATGAGAAGTAGGAAATAAATAGCGTGCGCTCGAAGTCGCTGTTTAAAGACCTGTAGCAGGCATTCTGCACTGCATTTGCTATATGTGTTATGCTTGCTTCCTTGGTTGATTGATCGATGAGTCACTCAATTTAGAAATTGAGATCACGACTTTGCTCTCAGTGCATGCTCCCTATAGGATTTTATCGCTTTCCTTTATTTCTTATTGATCGATGAGTCACTTAATTTAGAAATTGGGACCACGACTTTGCTCTGATTGCATGTTCCCCATAGAATAGTTTTGTTAGACTTTCTTTGGCATGCTAGCCTAGATAGGATCTCTCTAGACGTGCTTTCTTGAGTTTATTGGCTTGTTTGTTTGATTTTATCTTTGTGTGCATGTTTTGAGATGATATACCCTCGGTATGTTCCCTTAAGAGCTCTTAATTCAACTATAGATGATGATTCAAGATAGACATAGTTTTAGGTGATAGACCCTTGCTATGCTCCTTTAGGACTTCTTGATTCATCTATGGATGGTGATTTAAGATAGACCTTAGGATTGTTATCCATGCATGTCAACATAAGGTAGAGATTTCTCTTCAAATCTCAACTTTAGGATCAATCATTGTATGATAATATTAGAGATAGATTTAGGCTAGTCTCCCTTAGATGTTTTTATTTCTTTTGCATCATTGCATTAAAACAAAAACTTTTTTTCTTGCAAACTTCAAAACACTTAAAAATTGCTGATGAGAATCATACCTTTGTAGAGCATGAGAGATGATAAGCGGGTTTCTTCTCGATCTTATCGTCCTTCCATTCTAAGCCTTGGCGTGGTTCAAGTCTCAAATACTTATTTCATGAATAAGTAGAGAGATGGATAATATCTCCCTCTTGAGATTAACTAGCTATTATCTACAACAAAAGCACCAACCAATACAAACTCTTTTTGCCTTCGGGCTTTTCTTTCAAAAACTTTTCAAAAGAACAAGTTAATTATCTTCTGTGTTGACGCGTAAGTCTCTAAAGGTCGAGTTGCGGCAGAAGGAGAAATTAATATTGTTCATTAAAAAATATAAACCAACAAAACTTTTGAAGCCGAACTATAGATGCTCTGATTCCTTAAAAGGGATATGTATGCATTGGGGTAGGGCCCGAGCGAGCATAACTTTTATTTTCCCTACATTCTTTTCTCCTTTCTTTTGCATGCATTCCTTGTACAGTTTAGATATAGATTCTTACACACCCATAAGATAGATAACAAGAGTGGATACCATAGAATACTACGGGAGTATGGGGTACTAATACCTTCCCCTCACGTAACAGACTCCCTTACCCATATCTCTTGGTCGTTTGATCGTGATTTTACCCTTCTCAGGTTTACTTGATATTTACCTTTCCCTTCTTGTGGGATAAAAAACGTTCGATGGAAACTTCATTGATTTCATTATCAGTTGATTTTTCAGTTGGTTGTTTCAGATATATGTAATTATAATTGAAGAAGTTAGGGGTGTATGGCTAATAATGTATAGACGTGGGGATGATTGAAGAATATTAGCAACATTAGTAATATTATTATTATTATTACTAATATTATATTTATAAGAGATAAATGGTAATTTATAATATTAATAATTAAATAAAATAAATCTAGTAATAAGAGGAGGGGAAAAGTTGATATATAGATTTAGGGGTCTAAAGTGTGTAGTTAGAACAACAGAGGAAATAACACGAGGAATATATTGTAGAAGTGAGAATAGAAGAACAAAGAGAAGAACATTTAAGTTAGGGTGAGGAATCTCCGGTAGAGAGCTTAGAATCATCAAAACTAAGGTAAGGGTGGGGTTCTGACTCTCTAATAGGTAGTTTAACTGTGGATAAATAAGGATATCGAATGTTAAGTTTTTGGGGTAAATTGTTGTGAAATTGATTGTTGTAATTGCTTGTAAATGATGAAATTGATGTGTTGATTGTGTTGGTTTTATGGTATATGATGTGTGTTGATGATTTAAAATAATTGATGTATTTAATCTTTCATAAAAATTAGTTTTTGATGAAGAGGATGGGATTTCATAGCAGAAAATTCAGGTTTTTGAGTCTGTTCGCGATGGGTAATCGGTTATCATATATGGGTAACCGGTTACCGCTGTTTTTGTTTTTGAACATTTGGCTAGTGACTTGCAGTAACCGGTTACGTAACTGGGTAACCGGTTACCGCTGAAGCTGGCCGAATTTTTTTGAAAACTTTTAAAAATCATAACTTTTGCCTTGGGTGTCCGTTTGACGCACCGTTTGAACCATTGGAAAGCTAAAAATATTTTCTATAATAAAAAATTATTTTTGATAATAGTGGTCTAATATTTTATCGAAACTATTGTGATGAATGTGTATGTTGGATCAGTCATGACACCAAAAATGTCGTGATAAGTTGTGTTTGTCAAACCCATGATGTGCAAAGAATTTACAAGTAATGTTTCAGTACTGAGAAGGTGATGTTGGCCTGAAAATTGGCTTAATGTTGATGGTATGCTTGGAATTGCATAATTATGATTGTAGCATGTTGCATTTCATGCATCGTTGAGGGCTTATGCCCTAGCCTGTATTGGCAATCATTGAGGGCTCATGCCCCGGCCTTTACGGAAATTCTTAAGGGCTTATGCCATGGCTTATATGGAAATATGTTGAGGGCTTATGCCCTGATGGTACCACATGTATTTTGCATCGGATTCAGTTGTACTACATTTGCCGAATTGTTAAATTGCGGAATTGTTGAATTACAGACTTGTTGAAATAATGTGACTAATAATTATCAAACTTTAATTATTGCATGATATATTTGTCGTTTACTTATAATTATATAACCTATTATATTGTTATGATATCTTAGCCTTACTGTTTGAATGTTGCATCCATGTGGATAACATGCAGATAGCCAAGAGTAATGCAAAGTCGTGGAGTCTACAAAAGGTTGCTTTCTCTTATTGAGTGGGTGTCATTGCTCTGGTACATAACACCGGGGGGGTGAACGCTCAATTGTTTTATTTAATTGATGTCTTTTTGAGGATTTTAGGATTGTTGTAGACTCTCTTTTAATTGATTAAATTGTTGATTTTATAATGGTTTAAGATTTTAGAATAAATATGATATTCTTTGTGTTGTGTTAATAAAGTTGAAGTTTAAAGACCATGTTGAAATGTTGTCGGTTCATCCTAAATGTGTGTTATGTATATGTCTTATCTTAACTGAGCAAAATTGAAAATGTTGAACAATGTGACATCCTACTTTGGAGTTTTATTTTACTCTGATTTTTATAAAATTACCGTTGGGGAAATAGGGTGTTACAATTTGGTATCAAAGCAGGTCGGTCCGTTCGACCAGGTTGTTGAGTCATTAGTGTAGTGTAACAATGGAATACTTTTGATGCTTTTCTATCTAACCTTTGTTTGATGTTGTGATGTGAAGCAGAGCAATGGCTGGAAGAGGCAATGGTGTGCTCGCTAATGCATTGCAAGCATTGGCTCATGCAATGAAAAATCAGCCCAACGCTGGTGGGAACAATGAGGCTCGTGCTTTGGAAACTTTCCAAAGGAACCATCCACCTACGTCCAAAGGAAAGCATGATCCTGAAGGAGCAAAGGAGTGGCTCAAAGATATTGAGAGGATCTTTCGAGTTATGGACTGCTTTGATGCATAGAAAGTGCGCTTTGGTACGCATATGCTGGCACGAGAGGCTGATGACT